GGTCTGGGTGTCCCTTGCCCACTCCCGAAGGCCGGTGGTGGGAGCAGGGGCCAGGGAGAACACAGAGGACTCGGGAGAGTTGGGTGAGCTTTGCGCCAGGAGCCCTGTGGCGGGGGACCAAATCAAGTGAGGACAGACAGACAAGCCCAGGGACTAGTGAGGAACTAGGATGTTTGTGGGAAGAGTTACATGGAACGAGGGTGAAATCCACAGAGACCCAGCACACAGTCCAGGGCCCAGCTAAGCCTCTGGATTTCTCCCTGTCACCATGAGAGACACAAAGCAGAGTTGCCCCAGTTTGTGGTAGGGGGATTCTTGACCCTAGCGGAGATGTGCTTCAACACACCTCCAGGACAGTTGGCAAAGGGCTGGGGTCACAGAGAGCGGGAAGACTACGGGGCAGGATTAAGCATGGCCTGCAGATCTGAGAGCTGACAGGGTTTCGAGCTCGACTGATGCTGGAAGTGGAAGAGGGGATGCGGAGGAGCGGAGGGTTGTACCTGAGCACCAGAAAGGGAAGGAGAACCAGGGACGGGCTTACAGGACAAAGCCAGGGATTCCACGTCCACGGACAGAAACAAAAGGCTGCAAAGCCCCGATCCTGGGGATAAGCACAAATTGCGCCCAAAGGATGCTGCTGCAGCCGGAGTTTTGTGGGACAGGCCCCTTCCCCGGTGGCCCGTCCCCCTTTGGAAATGCCCCCTCCACTCCCACGCAGCACACTGCATGTACCTGCACAGAACCCCCAAGCCTGCTGGTCGCTAGGTGAGTTCCTAGAGGTTCCTCGGCAGGCTGCTGACTAGCCTGAGGATCACCCAACTCGTTCCCCTCGGGCGACTGCTAGTGACCGGCAGGACAGGAAACAAAACAGAAGAAGAAGAAGGATGGAGACGAGGGGGTGGGAACGGTGGGGGAGAGGAGTCAAGAAAATAAGACATGCAAAAGCAAAAATATAAACAGAGCAGCACTAGTGTGTTAAGGCAAATAAACCAGTGTGGTCCCTAGTGAAATCCCAGCAGACTGGAATGGGCTGGGACTCAGAGCCATTTGACTGGCTGCGGGTTTGCTGTCTGGGTTCACGCTTTACTCACCCCTTCGCTTGTGCACATGTGCGCACGTACACCCCCCACCCCCGTAACACAAAGATCTCGCGGGGTCTCTGGTGCACTAGTCCAGACAGATCAGGCATTTGGTCTGCTGCCCTTCGCTTTGGCCAATGGTGAGACATGCTGCTGGCTTTTGGAAAACGCTGGCGACGGAAGCGGTTTCGCCATGCGGAGCAGTGCCTCTTGGAGGGGACAAGCCGTGTTTTAAACGGAGGTGGGGGAACCGATGCTGCCGGATATGTGATTTTGCAGAATGAGGGTTGACAGAAATTAAAGCTACGGGTCTATCTTCCCATCCCTGCAGTGTTTAAAGCCAGAGGATGCAGGAAAGATCAGGGCTTGGAGTAAACTGGGTGATCACTAGGAATCGAGATACAGCGAAGAACTGGCACCTCCTGTGTATCAGATCCTCTGGGATTGCACTGGACCTCTCGTTCTGTGAAGAGCCTGGTATAGCTACCGCACTGCGGATAACCTTCCACTGGGGATGTTACCAGTCTCCCTTCTTCCCACCGCTGCTGACGGCCCGTCAGAGAGATAGAGAGAGAGAGAGAGAGAGAGAAGATCCCATGGATAACTGAGACTAGGGGACAAGTCAGGAGTCCTGGAGAATTTTCCCTCTCCATAAAAGCAGTGGGACTGCTGGGTCGGCCTGTGCTGCCCGCACCCAGCTGGTTCTGATGTCTGCCCCAGGTCCAAAAGCCGAACCCAGCTCCATTTGGCCGAGGTCGTGGTGACCGGAGGTCCCACCCCTGCTTCAAGAGGATTTCTTTGGTAAGTGAAGGCAAAGGGAACCCAGTTCTCTCCAGCTGCTGGCGGAGGAGGCTGAGCCTTGACAAAGGCTGGGTGTGAAACCCGCTGGTCCCTACATACTTAGGGACGAGCAGTTTTTAAACTAAGTCCTGATCGTGCAGCATCGCCTGGAATCAACCCCCCTTTGTCAGGGCCCTCACGGGCAAGAGAACAAGTCACAAGAGAGCGCCGATTATTCGGAGCTCGGTCCAGTCACTCTAATGTCCTCCCCACTCCATGGGTTTCCTTGGCTGTCCCATCTTCTGGGAGCATCACAGCAGGAGACCAGTTACCTGGGACTCTGCCCGGCTTTCCTAGAGGCTAAGCCAGGCAAAGTTCTCCCTCCCCCCGCCCCGCAGAGCCAGCACTGGCACCCTCTCCACCTGGCCATTCCTCACTGGCCCCTGGGAAGAGCCACCTCGGCAAAGTGCCTTCCTGGTCCCTAGGGCGAGGCTGCCACGTGCTGTTCTCCTGCCGGCAACAAAGTTGTGCTCCACCGAACGGATTCCAGCTCAGCCCGGCAGCGCCTCCCAGACCTGAGCTGTCTTCACCCATGTCTCTATGCCCCCCCCCCGAGCAAGAGAGAGAGGCTGAGTCTCCTCCACATAGTGTCAAGTATCAGAGGGGTAGCCGTGTTAGTCTGAATCTGTAAAAAGCAACAGAGGGTCCTGGGGCACCTTTAAGACTAACAGACGTATTGGGAGCATAAGCTTTCGTGGGTAAGAACCTCACTTCTTCAGATGCAAGACTGAAGAAGTGAGGTTTTTACCCACAAAAGCTTATGCTCCCAATACTTCTGTTAGTCTTAAAGGTGCCCCAGGACCCTCTGTTGCTCTCCACATAGTGGTGACTGCGGAGATCGCATCACCTGCAGCTCTCCCCACGGGGCAGTATGGAGAGACTCAAATCAGCAGGCTGGCCCAGCTCCTCAGAAGGGCTGATTTAACTCAGCTGAGTACTCCCACGGTCCCCTTCATGGTCCCCCAGGTGGGGCGACAGAATCAGGCTGCCCAGCCGATTCCAGCGTGGCAGGCAGCACCAGCAATCCCGCCACAGCCCATTCCCTTCGCCCACCGCACGGGGTTCTAGGACCAGCTCAGGGCCTCTGGACTCACCAGCAGGGCCTTTCCACCATCGCCCCAAGGCCTGGACATGTGCCGGGGCAGAGATGTCATGGGAGCCTGTCCTGGAAGCCACAGCTGAAGGCCCGTCACCAGTGAGCCGGTCTCACCCATGGGCTGGGTTCTACAGTCAGGTCTGAGCCCAAGAAGGACGAAGTCCTGACTGATCCCCAGCCCAGGCTCCAGGATGCACATGGTCCCACCCTGCTGTCCAAGCTCCATGGTGCACTGAGAGCACTGGCCCAGCCTTTCCCACCCAGCCTCAATGGTCCCGCCCTGCAATCACTGCTGGAACAGGGGTGCACAGGCAAGAGACCCTACAGACATGCACTTCCCATGGGCCTATGCCCCACCTCTGAGGAATCCGCCACATCCCTCCTCAGGGCTTTCCATTTCTCCCGCACCTCCACACCAGCCACCTTCCTTCTGGCTACAGAGAAAGGGACCGGCCAGCTGATCGGCCAGAGGAGATGCCTGCCTGCACTCAGCCTCCCAGGCCCCACGGGAATGGCTAATGGTGTCTGGACCCCTCCTCCCCACAGCTTCCGCTATGAATCGGTTGGTTCTGCCTGCGCTCGGACGGGTTCGCTCCGCCCCACCAAGGCCAAGCTGCTCTGTCACTGGGACCGGGCCCAGCCAGTGTGGCTGGGGGCGGGCAGGCGGCTCACCTGGTGTTTGGCGTGTGGCTGTGCTTTGTCTCTGTTCGGAGGCTGCACCTGGACGTCACTGTGGATTGTGCCGATTGGAGTTGGCTGTAATCAAGACAGCAGGAGGAAAATCATCAAGAAAGGCCCAGTAATCTCCGTACAGGCCGTGTGCGCCTTGGGCTTTCACTACCATCCGGTGGGGAGAGGGCCCGGGAGCTGGGGGAGGGCGGGATTGTGGCTTATGTTAGGAGGGGAGAGATCTCACTCCTGGGGGCTGGGATAGGGCTGGCTTGGGCCGGCCCCACTAGAATGAAAATGAAGCCTGGGGTCCGAGTGGCTGAGCCGACGTGTGTGTTCTGGGTGGGGGCAGACAAGGCACTGAACCGTGGAAAGGGACCAACGGGAGGATGGGGGGAGCAAACCTCTCAGAAGCCAGAGGGGAACTAAGCAGTTGTAATCTCACACAGCCAAGCTCTGCCTGCTGCTCCCGTGTACTTCAAGCCAGAGGCAGCCATCCAGCCCCTCCCTACAGGGGCACCCCCCCAGCTCCGTTCAGCGGCACTTACTAGCGGCTTCCCGGCCCAGTCGTACTCGTAGTCGAAGACGTAGCCACTCCGGTCGAACAGGTCCGTGAAGAGCTTGCGCAGGTAGTCGTAATCCGGCTTCTCGAAGAAATCCAGCCGCCGCACGTAGCGCAGGTAGGTCGCCATCTCCTCTGCAGAGGCACAGCGGACTCAGTGCGACGTGCAAGCCATGGCCAGGGAGCACCCAGCCCCGGGGAGGCACCACAGCGAGGGGAACGGGGGCAGCAGGGAAATACCCTCCAGCCTCTGTGGGTCTCAGACCGAAGGGAGGCGGCTGTAGGGAACAGCCACGGGGAGAGATCCTACCCCGCTCCAGCCCCCCGGTCCACTGCAGACAGAGGCAGGGGGAGAAGTCCAGCAAGCCCAGCTATAGGAGGTGGGGCAGGAGGGGGCGAGGCTGCAGTGAATGGTGCTGCAGGGGACCGAGCTGTGCAGTAACCCATAGGTGGCAGTGTAGGTTAGTAGATAGTGCACCAGACTGGGATTCAGGAGACCTGGGTGCTAATCCCAGCTCTGCCACTGACCTGCTGAGTGTCCTTGGGCAAGTCATGTCTCCCTCCGTGCCTCAGTTTCCCCTTCCAGATTCTGGCTGTCAGGTCTATTGAATGCGGGCGCGAGCGCGGGCCCCTCCCGGCTCGAGCAGCGCCCTTACCTGGGAAGTTTTCACACAGGACTTCGACGGGGGTGGCTCTTTTGGTGTCTCCGATCTTCTGATACCGCTCCTTCAGCGTGTCAGCCTGGAACGGGGAGCACGGGTGAGAGCTCGGCAGGGCACCGTGGACAAGCGCCACACACGCCCGGATGGCTGGCAGCAGCACACTGGCCAAAGCCCTAAGCCAGGGTTTAGGAGCTGACCTTGGGCTCCCCCTCCTCCTCCCCCCCATCCTGGCAACTCTAGTACCATCCCAGCTATCCCGCTGGGCCATCGCGGGTTTCAGGAGGAGCAGGGAGACTGGGCAGCAGGATAGCCATGCCCAGAGTGGCAGGGAGACCAGCAGAGAGAGGGTGCACATTCCACTCTCCTGACTACCGTATGGCACGAGGAGGGAGAGCCTGGCTGGCGGCAATCAGGGACTGACACAGCCGAGCTCCCAGAGACACAGCTGTGCAGACCTCGCTGGGCACAGCATAGGTGTGAGAGTGAGGAGGGGAACAGCGACGATTGGCTTGTTACCAGGGCCTCTTGGGCTACCAGGGGGGTTTGGTTTCCAAACAGTCTGACAGTGGCCAGGGCGGGATTTGTCAGAGAAATGTTAACTAAACGCCCATAACAACCGGTGCTGCGATACAGCCGCCTCTCCGGGAGCTATCGGCACAGCACAGCCTCCGCTCCCCGCTGCGGGCAGGACAATACTACAGCAGCCACCTGGCACCCAGGGAAAGTGGGGACAGAGAGAGCAAGGGGCTGGTCCAAGGCCACAGAGAAACAGCGACAGTGAAGGAAACCCCCATCCCTCGGCCAGCGTGTCTCAGCCTCCGTCCCGCCCCTGGCAGAGTAGCTGCCCTAAGGACTTGGACTTTGTTAGGACGCTGGCCAATGCCAAGCACATCGGAGCCTCCCCCACGCCACGTTCCCTCCCAGGAGCCCCCCACGCCTCCAGCAGGAATTTCCACACGGAAGGAAATTTAAAATACGAATGATGATTTATTGCAGATTGAAGGAGCCCGGGAGCTGGGGCTGGTACCAGCTGAGTGAACTCAGCACTAAGCTGCTTGGTGACTGACGGATGGACCGAGTCTGGGAAACCCTCGGGTTCCGATCCTGCAAACACCCGCGTGAGGAGTCCGCTGGCTCCACTGGCATCGCTCATGTGGGAAAGCGTTGGCAAGATCAGGGCCCAGCTGTCAGTGAGGGGAGCCCACCGGGGGGAGAGGTGTAGATGGCCCCTCTCCGGACAGTTCTATCAAGAGCTTTTTTTGGTCTGGGCCCATTTCTGAGGGTAGGAGAAAAAGACGGCTACTTACCTCTCGTAACTGTTGTTCACGTCCATTCCAATTAGGTGTGCGCGCGCCGTGTGCACGGACGTCGGAAACTTTTCCCTTAGCAGCTCCCGTCGGGACGGCAGGGGAGCCCCCTGGAGTGGCACCCTCATGGCAGTGTATAGATTACCCTGCCGGCCTGACCCCCCCTTTGGTTCCTTCTTGCTGTTGACTCCGACAGAGGGGAAGGGGTGGGTGGGTATTGTAATGGACGCGAACACCACATCTCGAAGAACAACAGTTACAAGAGGCAAGTAACCATCTTTTCTTCTTCGAGTGATTGTTCACGTCCATTCCAATGAGGTGACTTCCAAGCTGACCATTGCAGGAGGGTAGGAGTCATGGAAGGACTGATTGAAGAACAGCTCTGCCGACCGGTGCATCATCTCTGGCCTGTTGGTTAACAGCATAGTGGGCTGTAAACATGTGCACTGAAGACTAGGTGGCTGCTTTACAGATCTCCTGGATAGGGACCTGAGTCAGAAAGGCTGTCGAAGATGCCTGTGCTCTGGGTTGAATGGGCCGTAATCGCTGGGGCTGGGACCTTCGCTCATAGCACGTGCGAATGCAGTCTGTGATCCAGGACGATATATGTTGCGCAGAAACAGGAAGGCCCTTCATTCTGTTAGCTATGGTGACGAACAATTGGGGCGACTTGTGGAAAGGTTTCACGCACTCTATGTAGAATGCCAAGGCTCTCTGGACATCCAGCGTGTGTAGGCTGTGGTGTCTCAGACTCGTGTGGGGTTTTGGAAAGAACACTGGTAAACAAATGTCCTGACCCATGTGGAATTGGGAGGCCACCTTGGGGAGAAATTTAGGGTGTGGTTTAAGCTGCACCTTGTCCTTACGAAACACCATGTAAGGTGGTTCGGAGGTGAGGGCTCTCAGCTCGGACACCCTCCTTGCCGATGTAATGGCTACCAGGAACGCCACCTTCCAAGAAAGGTAGAGGAGGGAACAGATGGCCAGGGGCTCAAATGGTGGGCTCATGAGTTTGGAGAGGACCAGGTTCAGGTTCCAGGTTGGGACTGGCGGATGAGAATACAGGAACACCCTCTCCAGCCCTTTGAGGAATTGCCCCATGATGGGATTAGAAAACACCAAGGACCCAGACTCCCCTGGATGGAAAGCTGAAATGGCCACCAGGTGTACTCTGATGGAGGAAAGGGATAGCCCCTGATGCTTAAGGTGTAGGAGGTAGTCTAAAATAACTGGGATAGGAACCTGGAGCGGTTGAAGGCGCTTGGGTTCACACCAACAGGAAAACCTTTTCCATTTTGCCAGGTAGGTAGTCCTAGTGGAAAGTTTCCTAATGCCGAGGAGAATTTGTCTCACCGACAGAACACTAGCTCTCCATGGGATTTAGCCATGGCGTTTCCACGCCATGAGATGTAGAGATTGCAGGTTCGGGGGAAGGAGGCTCCCGTGGTCCTGCGTAATCAGATCCGGGTAGAGGGTCAGGGCAATCGGGGCGTCTACGGACAGCTCTAGGAGGGTTAAGTACCAGTGCTGTCGGGGGCAAGATGGGGCGATCATGATTACCGTCGCCTTCTCTCTGCGAATTCTGAGGAGGACCCGGTGGACAAGCGGGATAGGAGGGAAGGCATACTTCAGACCCTCGCCCCATGGTATTAAGAATGCATCGGCAATGGCGCCCAGACTGTGGTTTTGGAATGAGCAGAACTGAGGGCACTGTCTGTTGCTCTTGGTGGCGAAGAGGTCTACGTGGGGATAACCCCACTTTTGGAAGACCGACTGTATGATGGCCGATCTGATTGACCACTCGTGCATGTGGTATGACCTGCTGAGGCGATCCGCCAGCTCGTTCCGTACTCCTGGAAGGTAGGATGCTTCGAGCTGAATGGATCGGGCTATACAGAAGTCCCAGAGAAGAAGAGCCTCGCGGCAGAGAGGTGAGGAGCGGGCTCCGCCTTGTTTGGTTACATAGCACATGGCGGTGTTGTCGTCTGTCAGGACTGTCACACTGTGACCTTGCAAAGTGGCGTGAAAGGTTTGGTAGGCCAGACGAACTGCTCTGAGCTCCTTCAGGTTGATATGGAGAGGTCTCTCGTCCCTCAACCACAAGCCTTGTGTCCTCAGATCCCCTAAGTGTGAGCCCCAGCCCAGATCTGATGCGTCTGTTACTAACGTCAGAGAAGGTTGGGGCTTGGCGAAGGGGACCCCTGCCCAGACCACTGGTCGGTTCAGCCACCAGCACATGGATTCTAGATCCTGTCCAGGGACCATCACCACAAGATCCAAGGGGGTCTCTGTACAGACGGTAAGACAGTGCGAGCCACGCTTGCATGGGTCTGAGTCTCAGTCGGGCATGCTTGACCATGTACTGCATGCTGCCATATGCCCTATTAGCTGCAGGCAACACCTGACTGTCATGGTGGGATACTGAAGCAATGATTTGACAATCTGCTCTATGGCTTGGAACCTGGGCTCTGGAAGGCTCGCTTTAGCCAGTACCAAGTCCAGGACTGCCCCTATGAACTCGATCCTTTGGGTAGATGAGAGAGCAGATTTGGGTACATTGAGGAGCACCCCAGTCTGTGAAACGTGTCCATGACCATCGTCACGTGGGACTGGACCTCGTCCGTGGAACGACGTGTGAGTAGCCAGTCATCGAGGTAGGGGTACACTCGGACTTGCCTTTTCCGCAGAAAGGCTGCCACCACTGCCATGAATTTTGTGAACACTCGGGGGGCTGTGGACAGGCCGATTGGGAGAACCGTGATCTGGGAGTGATATTGGTTTACGACAAACCAGAGGAAGCGTCGGTGCGCCGGATGAATGGCAATATGGAAGTACGCATCTTTCATGTCGAGGGCAGCGTACCAATCCCCCGGATTCAAAGATGGAATGATAGTGCTTAGGGAGACCACGCGGAACCGGAGTTTGACCATAAATGTGTTGATTCCACGAAAGTCTAAAATGGGTCGAAGACCCCACTTTGCCTTGGGGATTAGAAAGTAACAGGAGTAAAACCCCTTTCCCCTTAGCTCCTGTGGAACCTCCTCCACTGCACCTATCTTGAGGAGCGAACGAACCTCC